TTTCTTTAGAAAACTAAAGTTTTTTCTTTCTTTAGAAAACTAAAGTTTTTTCTTTCTTTAGAAAACTAAAGTTTTCTCAGAAGTTGGAATAGTCCCTCAGAAATTCATATGCATCTCAGAAGCCTCTAGGCTTCTAAAAAACTCTGGATGCTTCCTTACTGTTCTCAGTACTCCAGACATCTTGCTAAGACACTCGCCCCGCGGCTCCAGGAACCCCAGCATTCATATGGACCCTACCTCTGCCTCACGGCTAGGTACCGGAGGTCCAGGCACCCCTTAACCATGGGGCCGTAGTCCTGCAGGAGCTTGCTGGCGTCTTCTGAACATCCTACTCCAACTTTTAGAATAGTGCCATCTGCCAAAATGTCCAACAAAGTTTTTGGTAGTGTTTTTCCTCCACGTATCAGCTTTGGCAAGCGAACCAAGACACAGAAGCCGCTTGGGGAGGCCATTTGAAGGAGTGACAGAGGACTGGCTTTGCCTTCCGAATTCACCTGCAACAGAGGAAACAGGGCCACAGGTCATGCCTACCACAGCAGCAAGTACAACATGAAACTGGCAAAAAAAAAAAAAAAGTCTAAGAGGGACATCCTTAACGTCCCAAAGAAAGTGGCTGGCCGAATTTTGGTTCAGATCCAAGGCCGAGCCTATGCTAGCAAATGCAATGGACTCGGTGAAGCTGTAGCCTAAACAAAGGGGCCCCAGCGTGAGCCTGAAATGTGAGCAGCTGTAAAGACTGACACAGAGGACAGCTGGCTGAGTCACGGGAAACATGCTGGTTTTAAAAAGTCTAAGTGAGAGGGGCGCCTGGGTGGCTCAGTGGGTTAAAGCCTCTGCCTTCAGCTTGGGTCATGGTTCCATGGTCCCGGGGTCCCGGGATCGAGCCCCATGTCGGGCGCTCTGCTCAGCAGGGAGCCTGCTTCCCTTCCTCTCTCTCTCTGCCTGCCTCTCTGCCTACTTGTGATCTCTGTCAAATAAATAAATAAAATCTTAAAAAAAAAAAAAAAGGTCTAAGTGAGGCCCACCTGGGTGGCTTAGTGGTTGTTTGTGCCTTCCACTCAGGTCCTGATCCCAGGGTACTGGGATCCAGCCCCTGCTGAGTGGAAAGCCTGCTTCTCCTTCTCCCTTTCCCCCTCCCCCTGCTTGTGCTTCCTCTCTCTGTCAAAAAGATAAATAAAATCTTTAATAAACAAACAAAAAATCAATAAAAGTCTAAGTGAAAAAAGGCTAAAGAGTGCAAAATGACAAACACATACTTTTCATTATCACATGCTACTCATTTACCTTGTTACTGATTCAAAATCCAATTTTTGAAAAGAGGTAGAAAATACAGTACTACAAGTAAGTGGCACCTGCCAATATAATAAATCCTGGTAGCACAAAAATGCTTTCTCAGCATTTTATGATCACAAATGGTGTTCACGAAGGGGGGAAAAAGGTATATTGAGCTTAAGCTAGGATCCTTCTCTCTTAAAGAGATGAAAATCACTTTATGTATTAATTGATCTAGTTTTAATCGTTTTGAGGTAATAGATAAGTCAGAGGGGAAAAAAGCTGAAAATTAAGAAATTATTCCCAGAAAAATTTACATGCAAAGTTCCCATTAAAGCAAGATCCTCTAAAGCTAGTCACAGAACCCAGGTTAAACATCCAAGAAATCCCACCCTTCTCATTTTGGGGGAGAAGAAATTTAGGACCTACAGGTGAAGCAGTTTGCCCACACATGGAGGGATAATGACAAAGTTAGGACTAGAACCCAAATTCCCCAATCCAGAAGGGCAGTTCTCAACCAAGATTCATTTGCATCCCCTCCCTTACCCCATGGACATCTGGCAGTGTCTGGAGAAATTTTGGGTTGTCACAAGCTGGGGGATGGGGTGCACAAGTATCTAGCAGGTAGAGGGCAGACTGCTGTCAAACATCCTACAATGTGTGGGACAGCTGCTCACGACAACCAACAGCCTGCCTCAGCTCTCCACAGCAGGGAACGCTGCCCGGGGCACTGTGGTGCTCACACTCACGTGCCAACTGTGCCAGGCCCTGCGCCACACGCCACTGCGGCTATGAAGGCACGCAAGTGATGGAACGTGACTGAGGGATTCTATCCTTACTGGTAGAGTACGATACACACCAGCTCACACCGTCAGAAATGACAAAGTAAATTCCAAAGGAGTGGTTCAAACAAAGTGTTACAAGTAATCTGAGGGAGGTAGTTCATTGTTGAGGTGACCAAAATCACAGAGAAGAAACGGTCAAGATCACGGTGCTGCTGTGAGAAACAAAACTCAGAGGGACCTCATCTTTGACTTCTACTTCACAAAGTAAAACCATGGTTTGACTCATGGAAGGTTTAGGGTTTCCCTTCTCAGGTAATGCTTTATCAGTGAGGTGAGGGCTATTTCCAGATCCTCAAATAAAAGCATGCCAGTTTGATTTCTATCGTGTCTATTTCTTAGGGTTTAGTCAAGGCCAAAAAAGACCTACAAGAAACTTGACTACTGGTTCCTGTTCTTTTTTTTTTTTTCCTTTTTAAAGATGTATTTATTTGAGAGACAGAGAGAGAGAGCGGGTTGGGGGGAAGGGGCAGAGGAAGCAGGAGAGAAAGAAGCAAATTCCACATGTGGAGCCCAACACGGGACTCAATCTCACGACCTGAACCTAAATCAAGAGCCTGATGCTTAACCGACTTAGCCACCCAGGTGTCCCTACTGGTTCCTGTTATATAACAATTCACCTACATGTGGTCAAACTGCCTTTTTATTAGTGAATAACTGCCTCCCTCCATATGCCAGCTCTCTCCAAGAAAAATCCACACATCTCTACTTCTGATATTCAACACTGCTAACTGGACATAACACTCACTGCAAATTCCTAAGGCTGGATATCTGTACATCTTTTCAGTCGGGTTCCATTGTCTAAAATACACTAAGTAACTAGGTAGATAAGTTGTTTTGTTTTTTTTTTTAAAGATTTTATTTATTTATTTGAGAGCGAGACAGTGAGAGAGAGCATGAGGGAGGAGAAGGTCAGAGGGAGAAGCAGACTCCCCATGGAGCTGGGAGCCCGATGTGGGACTCGATCCCGGGACCCTAGGATCATGACCCGAGCCGAAGGCAGTCGTCCAACCAACTGAGCCACCCAGGCGTCCCGATAAGTTGTTTTTTTAATATTGTTTCTGGATTATGTTTAAGATCTAATGCATCATATAAAGTTTTCCCACTAAGAATTCAAACGTTTAAGATTCCAATAGGTACCCAATTTATACAGAATGTCTAAGTAGATGAAGAATGTTTTTAGCAGAGTCAATTTGGCTTAAAGAATAAGATATCTAGGGCGCCTGGGTGGCTCAGTGGATTAAGTCTCTGCCTTTGGTTCAGGTCATGATCTCAGGGTCCTGGGATCGAGTCCCACATCAAGCTCTCTGTTCGGCAGGAAGCCTGCTTCCTCCTCTCTCTCTCTGTCTCTCTGCCTATTTGTGATCTCTCTCTGTCAAATAAATAAAATCTTAAAAAAAAAAAAAAAAAAGAATAAGGTATCTAACCTAATCTTCATTTCTCATATTTCCCCCTTTTGCTTCCTATGATCTTTTTGCCTTGACATCACTTTCTACTCATGGAAAACAATGGAATTCTTGGTTTACCAAAGCTATGTTTAATAACAACAAAAAAAGAAATACACTTAAATTTCATTAACATTATTTAATCCAATGGTCTCTGAATTATTTATTTATTTATTTATTTGGTCTCTGAATTTTTTAAATATTTATTTTAGAGAGAAAGTGCATGCGTGCAAGTGGGGAGGAAGAGCACAGGGAGAGAGAGAATCACAAGCAGACTCCCCACTGAGCATGGAGCCTGACATGGGGCTCCATCTCAGGACCCTGAGATCATGACCTGGGCCAAAATCAAGAGTTGGATGCTTAACTAATTTTTTTTTTTTTTAGATTAGTCAACTCATAAAAAAATGCCTGGGACATACAAAAATACATAAATACATTTTTTTAAAAGATTTTATTTATTTATTTGACAGAGAGAGATCACAAATAGGCAAAGAGGCAGGCAGAGAGAAAGGGGTAAGCAGGCTCCCTACTGAGCAGAGAGCCCGGTGCGGGGCTCGATCCCAGGACCCTGGGATCATGACCAGAGCCGAAGGCAGAGGCTTTAACCCACTGAGCCATCCAGGTGCTCCCTATAAATACATTATTTATACATTATAAACTTGTAGTACTATAATAACATGTTATAGACATTATGAAATATATACAAAAGTAAAAATTTTTAATGAATGATGCCATCAAGAATTTTAGACAAAATTTCTAATGCTTTTTCTGTATTTCAGTGATTCCCTTAGAGAGCACTGATTTAGAGAGTCTCCTTTCTGAGGGTCAGTGGATAATCCATTTTGGCTTCAGGATGTCCAGAGCTGATAAAACTTTTTCTAGAGCGCACAGTTCTTTAAATGACCCCACGATGGCAGCAGAGAGTAAAGAATGATTTGGGACCATCTTTGGGCTTTGAACAGATTAATAAGCATCCTTAGTCCACAGAATTTATGTATCATTTAAATTTAGACCATGCGGGACACCTGGGTGGCTCAGTTGGTTAAGCGGCTGCCTTCGGCTCAGGTCATGATCCCAGCGTCCTGGGATCGAGTCCCACATCGGGCTCCTTGCTCAGCGGGGAGCCTGCTTCTCCCTCTGCCTCTGCCTACCACTCTGTCTGCCTGTGCTCATGCTCTCTCTCTCTCTCTAACAAAACTCATTCTTGTCAAAAAAAAAATTTTAGACCATGCCTTTGAGACAAGAATGAGTTTGTCCTTTTTAAGTGAAAGAATAAAGGCTTGGGGCGCCTGAGTGGCTCAGTGGGTTAAGCCTCTGCCTTCGGCTCGGGTCATGGTCTTAGGGCCCTGGGATCGAGCCCCGCATCAGGCTCTCTGCTCAGCAGGGAGCTTGCTTTCCCCTCTCTCTCTGCCTGCCTCTCTGCCTACTTGTGATCTCTGTCTGTCAAATAACTAAATAAAATCTTAAAAAAAAAAAGAATAAAGGCTTAATGAGGCTTTCAAGTAATAATTAGAGTATGAGGGGGGAAAAAAACAAAACAGGAAGATGGGAAGAGGACAGGACACAAATCAGAGATGCTGAGAGAAGCCAGAGCATGTAAGTCCTTAAGTACAGATAAGTAATTAAGACATGTTGGTTCTATTCAGAGCAATGGAAGGGTTTTAAGCAGAGGACTGACATGCTCTGATTTCATTTTTAAAAGTTCATTTTGGGGGCGCCTGGGTGGCTCAGTGGGTTAAAGCCTCTGCCTTTGGCTCAGGTCATGATCCCAGGGTCCTGGGATCGAGTCCCGCATCGGGCTCTCTGCTCAGCAGGGAGCCTGCTTCCTTCTCTCTCTGTGCCTGCCTCTCTGCCAACTTGTGATCTCTGTCAAATAAATAAATAAAATCTTAAAAAAAAAAAAAGTTCATTTTGCTTACTATCTGGAGGTGGGAT